TAAAAGCTCAAACGATGGCCTTCGCCTCGGCTTCTAGCGAATAATTATAATAAATTGAAGGTTTGGTGTTCTTGTGGTATCCTTGTATACAGTGCTTCAATTAATATATTACCAGTTAGTAGTTGTTGCTTAGATTGAGAAATAATAAGCTTTATGTTCCCATATAAATCATTCGGTCAAATCTGGCTCTTATGTTTGAGAAAAAACTTGATTTACATATGATTTAAATGAATTAAACTGTGGGCTCCAAAAATTCGGCCCCAGCCTCCGCTTGCTTTGCTTTTTCTTTTTGGAGGAGTTTTAATGGATTTAAGTTTCGGGGTAAATTTTAGGAAGGTAGATGGTTTGTAGATAAGACCCTACCAAGAGATTTCGCCCTCATTTTGTGAGGACTTTATTATATGAGTTCTAGTTTCCTATAGGTGCAAGCCCCTATAGTTAATTACCCCTCTCGATAACCAGAGAGAACTTTCAATTAAGGCTAGTTGTCAATCAGATACATTGTACCCATAGATACGTAGTATCAGGCGTATAGTTGCAACATTGATTAAAGTGGACTGATGAATTTAGAGATTTGATATTTAAAATTAGAAATTTCCACCATCTTATACTTAAAGCGGATGGTGGGGGAATGGATGATAAACCCGATCAAGAACTCATGGTTTCGTCATCCCGGGCCATCGGTTGTCGACCCAATCTGACAGAAGGATCCTTATCGGCAGCCATGGGTTGCTTCGTCCAAGGGGACCTTATAGACCTGAGATGAATGTTTGTCTGAGGGGACAAATTTGAAATCACCTTAGCTTATAGAGGGATTTGTGCCCTATCGATCATATCCTATTGAATCATATCTCAAGGATTTGATGCCACTAAGGAGCGTATTGGCTCTGACCATAACTGGTATTTCGTGGTGCCATTTAGCGACAAAAACCACTCGGTTTAGAGGACCCCGGGTCATAAACGTTTATCCCGCGGTACCATTTGGCTGTAAAATTGTCAGTTAGAAGACATGTACCACGTCCTTACTGGCAGGAGATTGTTTGAGAATGAATCCTAGGGATATTTTCGACCAAGCATTTAACTCAATGTGAGTTGAAGTAATTTTAATTTTTCCACCCCTACAAACTATTGCGAAGAGTGGATATACTTTGCTTTAAGTGGTTGGATGGATTATTTTAATTTTAAATAACTTAGATTTTGGGATTTTTATATAGCTTTGAGATTTCATGGGTGTTTGGGAAATCATTTAAAAGTATTTGTGAACCCCTCCAATTGAGATAGATATTTAACATGATCATCACCAGGGTGTTTTGAGTCATTTTCATTTATGGATTGAATCTTGTCGACTCCATCAAGTTATCAATTGAGGATTAAAGTCCATAGGCTTTATGTATTTATTAGTGAATTCTCTTGATTATAGGCCTTGATGGCCTAATATGAATGTTTTAAAATAAATATATAAATCCCCACAACCGTATATTTTGCCTGATGAATTGTACCCTATCAACTCCTATTGACCCGTATATGAGGATCAGATTTTATAAGCTTTATGCCCTTTTTTGTGAATTCTCTTGATTATATGCCTTGAAAGCCTAATATGAATGTATTAAAATAAATCACTACATATTCTTTTGAATATTAAAACTTGTTCCCTGTTGTCCAAAAATCAAGTCCTCAATTATTTAAGTTATGATCAAATGAGATTCAAGTTATAACATATTCTTCTATACTTTTAATTTAGGTTCAAATTGAATTAAATTTCTTTGCATTTCCTTGAATACGAGTCCGAGTCAGAGTTCAAGTTGTCCAAATTCAAGTCCTTTGCATTGTTCAAGTTCAAATCGAAGCTCTTTGCACCAAGTTCATTTGAGTTCAAGTCTTGTGAGAGTCCCCAGTGATTCAACTCAAGTCCTTGTTTGAGTTTAAATGTTTAAATCATGTCCTTGATCATTTTGAATGTTCAAGTCTTTTGTAATTTAAGTTATGTTCAAATTTAAGATCAAGTCCAGGCCCCATTTTTTTTTCAAGTCCTTGGGCGCTTCAGATGAAAGTTCGGCAGCCTATCGATGTCTCCCTGTTTAGGAGAAAAACCAAGAGGCAATCTTCACCTCCACGCTACACTAGCGCTTCAGGTATATGTTGGGTGACATCTCAGTTACATTTTTTTATTAATCCTCGCTCGCTACATGAGCGTTTAAGGGTCTTCGGGTACGTGTTTAAAAGAGCATAATTTTCTTTACCCCTCTGCACTACATGAGTGTTTGGAGGTACTTATTTTTCGTCCCCCTCGTGTTACATGAGCACTCCGGGGATTACCCATCTTGTTGCGAGCGTCACATCAGTTTCCCTCCCTACTACACTATGTGAGCGTGTATGAGGTTTGCCGGCTTGTCGCAAGCGTCGAGGACGGGATTTTTGAGTGAGAAAATTTTATACCTTACCACATGGCGGCGACGATGGCAATGAGATTCACCAAAAGATTTCCTTTTTTGGGATTTTCTCTCTTTTTTTACTTTCTTTTTTTTTTACTAAAAACAATTTAATAACAATAAAAATACAATTAATATAACTAATAGATTATAATATAATATAATTATTGTAACTTAATTATAATGATAACCTATGATGATGATGATAATAATAATAATAATAATAATAATTAATGATAATATAGCTAATTAACTAAATAAAACAAAATAACATTTATACCTAATTAGCATAAGAGGTCGGGTTGAGCAAAATAACAGGAGGCAGCGTCGGGTATAGGTAGGGGGCGACGGCTTAAGGTCCAGAGAGGGCTTGCGGCTGGATGTGGTTCAAAAAGAGGAGGATTGATATGTTAGAGCTGGAGTTCGGCTATGAGAGAGGCGGGCTGGCTTTGTGTAGCTCAAGGCATCGGTCTTGTGGTTGAGATTTGGCTTGGGGTTTGCAGCAAGAGAAGCGCAAGGAGGAGGCGCCGGGTAGATGTAAGGAGGAAGCTCTCTCTCTCTCTCTCTCTCTCTCTCTCTCTCTCTCTCTCTCTCTTTGTGGTTTGACAGTTTTATGGGGTTTGGCCGAAGAAGCACGCGAACGGGAGATGGAGGGAGATCGAGCATGGTCTCGATCGAGTTGGCTTCGGTGGGATGGGGAGTTTAGCAGAGGTAGGTTGGCAAGTAATCGGGTTGGAGAGCTCTGGTTCGGAACTTGTGCATGGAGGGGGAGAGGATGAGCGAAAGGTTTCGTAAAAGAGGAAGTGACCAAGTGATGAGGCGACTGGGTTTGGCTTGATTTTAACAACACAAAGGCAGGTGGATTGATTGATTGTATAAGCAATATCAGGCCAAAGGAAGGACGTCAGAATTTTGCGAATTGAGTTGGACAAATTTTACGAATGTCTCATAAGCCTTGCAAAACTTCAATATGTACCATATATTTATATCCTAAGAGCAAGCTGTGCTATTTGCTTGGAATTAAAAACTATTCCTATAATTCCCTTTTCCAAAAATTAGCAACCTAATGAATATAAACTATAACATCTGATATATGAACTTGCTTGTGAATAAAGCATCGAATTTAATTCAATAAAATTAAGAATCTAATTTTGAATATAGAAATGATTCTTTATTTAATCACAAATTAATAATAATTAAAATAAAATTAGCAAAAAAATAAGAGAAATATAGATAATTTTGATTTGAAATTTTTGTTCAAATTTGTTTAACTAAGTTTAAGATTATTTACAATACTAAAATATTTTTTGAATAATTTACACTATCTTCCTAAAGGATTTCACAATGGTAGTTTAAGTCAGTGGAGCAATCAATTTTCAAATACAAATTTGAACTTACTTTTGAATCTAGTATACTTTAAATGATTTATTGTACTTCATTTGATCTGTTTTGATGTTCACGTCCTTGCTCTTAGGTCCCTTCTCCTTCGACTTGTTATTTAATTGATCATCCATTTTGTATCAATATTTGTGTAAACATCTAATCTTGAAACCACTTCATATACATAGTAATACATCTAATTATATATTTGTTATCATAAAAAAGTGATCACATATGCCTTCGAAATGTGTGGGTTTTTTTTTAAGGATGCAGATTTATATTTGTTAGTGATAAGAATGAATATATAAATGACCTCTCTTTCTTAATTTAATGCATTATGCGTATTTTAAGAGTGAGTTGTAAGGATTCCTTAAGAATTTCTCTTTTTAGACAATCCTTCAACTAGAGAGAGAACGTCTGGTTCGAATTCTAGAGAGAGAAAGTTCATCGCCTGTTCGAATTCGATTTTGCGGGGGTTTTCGCATTCGAAGGGATTAGCGCCGGATGATCGCCGGCATTATCTAGCCGGTTTGTATGAATGTTCCGCGACCATTTGGCCCTCTGCGGGCCAATGGTAGAGGATCAAATGGTATTGTGATTAGAGAAGGATTTAGACCGTTGGGCCGTCAAGATCCTGTTGAAGGCAAGGGGAAGAAGGTTTTAGTGGATGATTTGGTGGTGTAGAAGAATGTGGATACCCAGGGTAATTTAGGTTTGGCGAATCTTGATTCTTCGGCTTCGGATGATGTAATTCTACGGGTGAAGAATTTTTCTGGAGTTCTTGATACACACGAGGGGCGTATTATTGGAAATGATTTGAATTCGGTGGAAGTTCAGAAGGAAAGTGAATTTGTGGATTACTCTAAGATCCCTATGAAGGATTCGACTAGTTTTGAAGTTACGAAGAATAAGATGATTGATAGTTCTGGACAGAAGGGTGTTGGTGAGGTTGCTAATGCTTGGTCGAAGCCGAAGCCTATCAAAATTATGTTTAACAGAGACCAGGCTGAATTTTCTGAAGATGGTGTCGTGGTCAGGTTAAATGCGGAAAGGGAGGCAGAGAATTCAAAAATTTTGAAGAATTCGATTGTGCTTTAAGTCTTGGGGAATAATGTGCCATTCTCGGTTTGTAGTTTATAGTTGAGAAGGCAGTGGAGCAAATACGGTGGATTTCATTTGACGTTGATTGGAATGAACTGGATTTTGTGTTCGTTCAAGACTAGTGAGGTGGAAGATGAAATACTTAATGAAGGCCCGTGGTATGTGAATGGGTTCATTGTTGGTATGGACAGATGGACGCCTATGTTTGATCCAAATTCATTTAAGGGAATCTCTTCTCCCGTTTGGATTACATTACCGTGCTTGCCTTTGTACTGTTGGGATGAAGATAGTATAGCAAGAATTGCTTCTTGCTTTTGTTCGCCAATGTACATAGATGGCAATACCTTTCGCTGGAGTAAATGTGAATTTACCCGTGTCTATGTAAGGATTGATTTGGAAAAGAAGCTGCCGAATGGTGTTTGGGTGGAAGGTTCAGCTGGGAGGTTCTTCCAACGGGTGGAGTATGAGAAAATTGATCTTCTTTTCTATCAATGTGGTAAAGTGGGTCATGATGATAAGATTTGTCCGGAAAATGTAACTCTTGGGATACATGACCAAACGAGGAAGAAGACGGATATAGTTACGGTGGAAGGAATAAAGATTGCGCCTGATAATAATCCTTCTGTGATCAGTGCTGAATATGGTCCGTGGATTCATGTCCATTTCAAGAATAGAAGATTTAAAAGGGATCTTGCCAAGAGAAGAGGTGTGAAGTACAATGGGAATAATACTGATAAGAGAGTTAATAACAGCCATCAGGATAGGGTGCTGGAGAGAGTCCGGACGAGGACAGAGGTTGCTTATGTTGTAGAAGATTCAGTTCTAGCTCCAGTAAAAAATTCAGTTAATATGGAGACAGCTGGTGTTGAGATGTTTGATGTTCACTCAACTAATCGTTTTGCTATGTTGGTTGATAAAGATGTAGAAGAAGGTACTGAGAAGCATGGAGAAATTGATAAAGCTTTGGACAGGAGCTTGGATATACCTAAACTTGATGCTAACCACATTGGTTTGGGTTATCATAGTGGTGTTGCCAAGATTAAACTAACCAAGGAATTGAGATCATTGGGGCCGGTTGAGCCTGACTATAAAAAAAAGAAGAGGGATGGGTTGTTGAACCCCAGTAGTGGGGAGAGATCTTCTGTACCTGGTTAAATGTCATCCATCTTATTTTGGAACTGTAAGGGATCCAAGAAGAGGGACGCTTCCTTGTATTTGAAGGAGATTGTTAGAGATCAGGATGTGTTCTTTATTGGGCTTATGGAGACCAAGTTGTCTAGTATTGATAGGAGGGAGGTTGATTGTCTTATAGGGAGTGATTGGGAGTTTTTTCACTAACCTGTTGTTGGTACATCTGGAGGTATTTTTGTGCTATGGAACATAAATTTGGTGACCTTTGATGTTATGGAAGCTACTTCACAGGCTGTCATTGGCAATCTTTCGGTTCCCATCTTGGGAACTTGGAGAATTGCTACTGTTTATGGCAACATATGATGTAAGGAGAGGGGAGGCCTTTGGAGTATATTAGAGAAGAGTATGGAGAATGCTATTCCTTCTATTATTGGGGTGGACTTCAATTGTATCATTAATAAGGAGGAGAAGAAAAGAGGTAAGAGGTTCTTGTTCTCTAAAGGACCTAGGGAGATGAAGGGCTTTATGATGAATTCTGATTTTCATGATGTTAGTAGTGTGGGACCAAGGTTTACTTGGTGTAACAACATGGAGGGTGCTTCTCGGATTTGGGAAAGGCTGGACAGGTGTATGTTGAATTCGGTTGCTATTCAGAAAATTCCTTTAGTTGTAACCAGACATCTTGCGAGAATGGCGTCTGACCATTGTCCTATTGTTGTTAAGATGGATGAAAAGGTGCGGTTCAAGTTAAAGGCAATAAGATTTGAGGATACTTGGAGGTCCTACCCTGCGGCAAAGAGTCGTGTTTATCACTCTTGGAAGAAGAATGATTTTGGAGATGAGTATATGATCCTTCAAAGGAAGCTTAGCCGCACATTAAAATCGCTATTTTTTGTAATAAAAACAAGTGTAAAGATTTGAATGTGTTAAAAGAGAAATTGAAAAAGGAGATCCAAATAAGGAAGATTTGGGTGTCAATTGGTCGGTTGATGACCTTTTCATTCTTAGAAACAAAGTCCATGAACTTAATGTTACTTTGAAGAGGCTTTCTACTTGGTGGAATCAAAGGGCAAAGGCTAGGTGGCATGAGGAAGGTGATATAAACTCAAAATTGTTTGATAATTATGCCTCGGCTAGAAGAAATGGGAATAGGATCATTTAAATTAAAGATGAGCTCAACAATTTGTATGACGAGGATGAGCAAATTGATAAGGTCTTCGTTAATTTTTTTGAGAAGAAATGGAAGCACTGGGATTGTAAAGTGACGGGCTGGCCTACAGTTTTTGAAAACCAGAAGATTGCAGCTGATGATATGGATGTGCTCAATGCAAAATTTTTAGTAAATGAGTTGCAGAATTCAGTTTTTCAGCAAGGAAACAACAAGTCACCAGTCTTGGATGGAGTCACCTCTTCTTTTTATAAGAGCTATTGGAGTATTGTATGGGAGACTCTTTGGAATACAGTTAACTGTTTCTTTAAATCCTGCAATATGCATAAAGAGTGGAAGAATACTTTGATTGTCTTGATGTCTAAGATTAAGAACCTTGTGATTCCTTCTAACTTTAGGCCTATTAGCCTTTGCCAAACTAATTATAAGATTGTGGCTACCATGTTAGTTAATAGATTAAAGAAGGTTATCTCCAAGATGATTTCAGAGGAGCAAGTGGCGTTCATCCATGGAAGATCTATTGCAGAGCATTGCCTTTTGGCTAAGGAGATCTTTCACAAGTTTAGAATTTCTAAAAATAAGAAGGGGTTGATGGCTTTAAAACTTGATATGGAGCAAGCGTATGATAGTATGGGATGGACATCTCTTCGGCACATCTTGATTTGGTATGGTTTTCCTACTGATTTTTCTAACCTTCTCATGGAATGTGTTGTAGATGTTAGATTCTCTATTATCATCAATGGGAGAAATTCTAAGTCGATTAATGCTCAGAGTGGGTTCCGTCAAGGGTGTCCACTCTCACCGTATCTTTTTATATTGTGCTCTCAACTCTTGTGCAACTCGCTTGTGCAAAGGGGACAGAAGCTTGGCATACAAATTTCTCCTAGAGGACCTATGATCACACACCTCCTTTATGCAGACGATGTGTTAATATTTTCTCATGCATCCGTGGATTTAGCTAATGCTTTGAAGACTATTGTGGAGGACTTTTGTAAGTGGATTGGACAAAGAATAAATGTAAGAAAATCTCAGATGATATTTGACAAGGTGGTTAGTTACTCCATGAAGAAGAGAATAGCTAAGGTTCTTGGCTTCATAGTTGTTAAAGCGATGAAGTATTTGGGAGTGAAGATGTCTCTTAATAGACTTAAAATGGCTGATTTTTAAGAAATTCTGAGTAATGTTATGGATAAACTCAATGCTTGGAGTAAGAAGTCCCTATCATTAGGAGGTAAGCTGATTCTCATTGATAGTTCTTTGCTTTCTATGCCTAATTTCTTAATTACTCATTCTATAGTCCCCAAGAGGGTTTTATATGAGTTGGAGAACTAGAAGTTTTATTTGGCATAAAAACGATGGGACCAATGGTATGAACTATGTTGCTTGGGGTGATATTTGTAAACCAAGAAGTTGGGGAGGGTTGGGTTTGCATTCTCCCCTCCTTAGAGTTGGGTCTTTAAGATCCAAGTTGGCTTGGAATTTTATCCAGAAACCGCAATCTTTGTTCCATCGTGCAATGATAGTTAGATATGGTAATGATGTGATGAATGGAACCCAAAGGAAGATTACTTCCACAGCTTGGCAAATTTTGGTGGATGGTGGCAAATATTTGAAAATGGATGTTCGTTGGAGAGTGGGCAAGGGTGACAAGATTAATATTTTAAATGATACATGGCTGCTTGATAGATGTATCAACCATTGGCCAACTTATGTTGACTTTGATTTTCTGGATGGAATGTACATACAGTAGTTTTTGCTTAGCAGTGGTGAGTGGAATTGTACCAAGTTGCAAAGGGCCTTCCATCCTGATCTAGTGTTCTTGATTAGCCAAATTCATGTTGAGTTTGAGGAGGAGGATAAGCTAGAATTGATGAAGATGTGCTCGGGAAAGACAGTTTCAGCATTGGTGTATGAGCAAGTGTTGTCCAACAAGTATACCCTGGAGGATGCTGATTACTTCAGCTGGTTGTAGAAATTAAAACTTAAGAAAAAGGTGGAGATCTTCTGGTGGAGGTTGGGAAAATCAGCGATTCCTACCAATCTTTTTTTGAAGAACCGTAGAATTTCAGATAACGATCTTTGTCCTAGAGGATGCCAAGTGAGTGAAACATATGAACATGTAATGGACACTGTAAAAATATGACTGATGTCATCGTGAAGATGGGTGAATGGGGTATTTCTATTCCTATTTTTAGTTCTCTGAATTGCTGTTTGCTGGGGTTAAAACAGATAGCACAAAATAAATCTGTGATTGTATAGATTTACTGCAATATTGTATATCACTCTTGGAAGAATCAGAATGCTGTCAAGCACAGTAAGACTGCTTTGCCATGCTCTATGGTTGCTTCTAATGCTTTGTTCTCAACCATTTCAAAATCTGGTCCATATCATACTAGCTGGGGTACTAATCTCCTTAGGGAGTCTCAAAGTACATGGTGCCCTCCACTGAAAGATTGGATTAAGATCAATGTAGATGCCTCTTTGCTTAGTTCCAATTTGGCTGGTGTTGGTGGCGTTTTTAGAGATCACAAAGGTAGGTTTATAAGTGCATTTGGGAAGAATGGAGCTCATTGGGATATTACTCAATTAGAGCTAGAAGTAGTTTTCTCGGTGAAGGGGTTTTTGAGAAGCTGGATGTTAGACTGTAAAGGGCTGATCATTGAGAGTGATAATATGAATGTTATCAAGTTCATTCAATATTCTCTAAAGAAGAATAAGTGGCAAGTTGATAGATGGCCGACAAAGGATTTGTGTTTCTTAAATGATTTTAATAAAGTTGTTTTCCTCCATGCTTATAGAAGTTGTAATAAAGTAGCTAATTGTTGTGCTACTATGGCATTGGAGAGTAGTTTCTTTTTTGATAGTTTTTCTTTTGAGAACATTCCTTCCTTGTTGTTAAATTTAATCAAGGAGGAATGTGATCCGTTTATTACCTGTAATTAGGTCTTGTTTTGTTCTTAATGCAATTTGATGCACTTCTTAAAAAAAAAATAAGAGTGAATTGTAATGAAGTAGAAGAATGACACAACTTTAGAACATAATGAAGAAATGAAAGAAATTTTTTAGTTCACATAGTCGGTCTCCTCAATATGACGTTATAGTTTTTTTTTTTTTTTTTTTCAATATGACGTTATAGTTAACTTCTTACAAAGCCCAATTTTAAATAACATTAAAATCTATTAATTTATTTTTAAAATCTACATTTTTTATTGGTATTAATTTTATTGGTTTACGTCAAATTAGATGTGGTGTAAAATCATATAAAAAAAATGATAACTTCAAATTCTTGACTTTTTTCCAAACGGAGGTTAAGTCACATTGCCACCGTATTGAAATTTCAATTATTTCATGTTTAGTTGACACCTAAAATGGTTTCATCAAAATTTTAAAATAACAAGAAGATTTATTTAATAGATCAAATCCCTATGTTTTTTGGTGTTTTAACATATTGTTTAACAACCCTTTCCTCTATTTGTGATGTTTTTTATTTCCAAAGAAGATAATGTTTATATAGATAATTAATGTACTAATAAATTATTTTAAGGAATTAAAATTAGGTTAAAGGAAGTTTATTAATTGTTTTGTATTTTTGTAGTGACAATGCCTTTGTTCCTAATTAAATTTTACACATGCTTCTTTAGTGAAACAATGATCGAGTAGCAGAATAGAGGAAAGAAAAAAAAAAGGTAAAATAGTCTACAAAAGACTAAAGGCCACTAGAGAGCCTAGTTATAATAATAGAATTGTAGAAAGGTCTGCCATCAGATGTTGGCCTCTTCCCAATGATAAAGATAACGTGAACTTGAGAAACCACTTTTAAGGTTTTATTATATTCCCATATGTTCTTCTTTAGGGA